GGAAACTCGGAAACTCCGATGCATCCTGCAATCTGGCTCAGGCGCCTTGGGAAAGCATCTCAAAGCCCCACTTCCTCCTCCGCCGTCCACCGCCCGGCCCGCTGGCCTCCCATCTCCTGCGCACATGCTCTGCAGACAGTGACCCTCACATCAGCTCTGACTGTTCTAGAGGGCAGGGACCCCTGGCTCTAGACCCCATCTACCATTGCTGCTTAATAAATATGTAATTAAAGTAATTCAGTGGTTGCTTGAATAAAACTTTGGCTGGCAGCTATGATGTCTTTGATTCTTGAAGAATTCATCATTAATGCGGTTTTATAGGAAAAACCTTCCCAACACAGGGTGGTCAATGGCGGTGAGGTGGAAAAGAGAAAGACAATTCTTGGTGCTGGGGAGTTTGAGGAACCACTGAGTCGGCACCTGCTCCCGCTCCGGTGGGCTTCGCTCTGTAAACCAAGCCGAGGGGGCCAGCTGCCCCGAAGGTTGCGATGCGGGGCTTCGGCTGACCAGCCCCTCCTGCTGGGTCCCCCTCACCCGCGTGCCGCCCTGCTGGCCTCTAAAAGCTGACCTCCAGCCCCTGGCCACTCCCTAAGGTCCTTTGTAGTCACTTTGCTACAGACGGCCTTGAGATTTGGGACTGACGGGCTCCTCTTACCTTCTGCCTCCATTTTGCAGTGGAAATTCGATATGTGCAAAATTTTGTAAATGACTCAACATGGTATGATTATATATTCAGACGCTGAAACTGAGCTCATTGATTTCTGATTTGGGAACTGATTTATATGAGATGTCTTATAAAGTTACAAATATTCCATCATTTTTTCATGTATTTTTTCGATGTGGAGTATAATTTAGATTTAGAATCATTTCAGAATATGCAAAACAGGTGAAGTCAGGTCTGTAGTTTTTCAGGCTTTACTAACTCAAACTCACAGATCTGTGCTAAAAATGGAACTGCTTTTCCGATTGGTGCCTCGTAATCTGTTAAATTTTAAAATTTAGTTAAAAACAGTGTTTGGTCTGATCAATTTTTGTAACTAAAATTATGTATAGGCAAACATCACAGAAAATAGACTAGAAAAAATACATCAAAATATTGAAAGTGGCTAATATTGATGGGATGTTTTTTAACTTTGTTTTAGCTCATCTGTACTCATTTTAAAGTAAAAAAAATAAACATAGATGTTTTCAGCCTATGAAAGTGAAGAGCTGAAGGAAAGTGGCTGCGGCATATTTGGGTGTGACCGGACCTGTGGCCAAGACCCCTCTCTCCACACTTTGTCCCCCCTCCTTGCTTCTTGGGGTGTTCTCTGTCCCAAATCCACCGCACAGGCTGGTCCTGCACAGGTGCTGGCACCCTGCGTCTACACGGACAGCCCCGCGGTCTCCGTCTGGTCCTGCTGAGATGCCTCTGACGGCCCCCGAAGGTCAAAGGTAGTCTCAGACCACTGGGTATAGGAAAGATTATGCGCCTGGGGACACAGGTGATTCCTGCTTGTCAAAAGTTCACCTCACTCCTCTTAGCTTTTAGGAAAGACCGCCGTTAACACCTGTTTGCACTAACAAGTCAGAACAAGATTTTTGCTTTAACCAAAAGAGGTGAGAATAGTGGTCAGTCCGCGTTTGTTCTGCAGCAGCCGTTAAGCGGCCGCAGGCCGGAGGGCGGGGCCGCGTGCGGCAGGGGGCGGGGCCGCGCGCTGGTGGGCGGGGCGACGCTGTGCGCACGCGCCTGCGCCTGCTCCTGCCTCCATCGGCCGTGCCGGGGTCCCGCGCTACCCGGTAGGCTGTCTGGGGTCTGGGGACGCTGACTCTTCACGCACATCAGTGGCGAGTGCCTCTTCACCCTACGCCGTTTCGTGAGAGCCGAGTGGCCATCTGGGCTTCAAAGTGTTGGCGGAGCGCTGGCTTCTGGCGGCGGTTGGGGGGGCTCTGCGCTTGCGTTTGGAAGGGGAGGCGGCCGCTGCGGGGGAACCTCTGCCTTTGAGGAAGGCGCTCGGGCCATCGCGGTGGCGCCCCGGCCTGGCTGTGGGACAGCAGAGAGGGTCCCCCACTCTTAGGCCCCATTTCCCAAGCAGAAGGGACGTTCCAAGCTGAATTCTGCAAAGAAGGGGGCGTGGGAGGTGCCCTGCGCTCACTGGGCGGCTCAGCCCCTCCCATCATCCGTTTCTTTCCGTCATTTGTCGCCCATTTCCAGTTTATTTGTAATCGAAGATTTTAATGAAAAAGTTATTTTTAACTGGTGTTTAATATCCTTGTATTGGAATTAAAATTATAAAATTCCAATTCTGGGTCACCATCTTTCGGCATCTCAGAAAAGCAGCCTCGGCCAGTGTGTGGCTTTGTCTGACCCAGCATGCTTGTGTGAGTTGCCATTTTGCATGCTTGTTGGCTGGACGAGAGGGGACACACACCCCCTGGAAAAATAAAATTAATTTCCTGAGAAAGAACCACGTCCCTCTTTCCAGGACTGCCCTAGAGCAGTCAGTCCTAGGACTGAGGGAGCCATGCCCCCTTCCCGACCCCAGCTCTACCTAACTCCTACTTCAGATCCGCTTGTCCTGAGTGGGGTGAGCCCAGCACCCTCCCAGCCGTCCCCGGGCCTTCGCCCCGCTCCACCCTCGCCACGCAGCCAGGGATCTTCCTGAAATGCGATCTGGCCATGCCCCTTCTCTCCTTGATCGTCGTTGCTTTTTGTTTTGATTCACTTTGAAAATATCTACATTTAATAAAACCAACTCTTTTAGGCACAGTTCTGTGTGCACTGACAAAAGCACACGTGGCACCTACCGCCACACGGTCAGACACGGAGGCTTCGCTTCACATCACACAGCCCCGCCTGCCCTCCCCGCCCTCCAGCCCCCGGCGATCACTGGTCTGTTTTCTGTTCTTTTAATTTTGCCTTTTCCAGAATATCATGAAACAGAATCGTACAGTATGTAGCCTTCTTAAACATTACACTTTTTCCTTTGTGGTGATTATAGATTCACACACAGTCGAAAGTAGCAGCACAGAGATGCTGTGCCCTTCGGACTGTTCCCCGCCCAGCGGCTGCGTCTTGCGACCGGGGTGTCGGCGCTGGCACGGTCAAGTTCCGTCCCACGAGGGCCTGCCCTGCGCCCTGTCACACTGTGAGCACCTGTCCCTCCCGTCCCCTCTTCCTGCACTGCAAACCACCGTCTGTTCTCCATTTCTATGATGCTGTCATTGCGGAAGTGCGTTCTGCAGCCTTTGCCAGGGTCCAGTGCGTTCTTCCTGCCTTTCCCTCCCCTGCCCTCTGTGATCGAGTGTCCCCCACAACTTTCTTCTTCTATCCTCTCCTTTTTCTTTTGTCCCTTCACCATGGTTAGACTTTAGAAGAAACAAAACAAGCAGAATGTTATATAAATGGAGACACAGTGTGCAACCTGTCGGGATTCACTTTTTTCACTCAGCCTAATTCTCTGGAGAGTCATTCTAGAACCATCTTTGGCATGGAACATGGAGCCATGTGTAACGTGACATCTGCCTGTGTTTCTAGCTTCATCTTCCAGTTGAGTATTCACTCACACTTATCATAAATGTCATAAAAAATATTACACTATCATAGCAGACCTCCTTCACAGTCCCACTCCCAAATCTACAATCCCGTCTACAATCCTGTCTCCTAAAACAGATCGGCTCTCTCACAGGACTTCCTCGTCCTGTTCCCTGTCACGTTGTCTAGGTCAGCGGTTCCCGACCTCTGTGGTACCAGGGACCGGTGCTCCCATGAACATCTAACGGCTGATGGCCTGAGGCGGAGCTGAGGCGGTGATGCTGGCGCTGGGGGCGGCTGCAAACACAGGTGAAGCTTCGCTCGCTCGTCCGCCACTCACCTCCTGCTGTGTGGCCCGGTTCCTGACAGGCCACAGATGGTACCAGTCCACGCCCGTGGGTTGGGGACCCCTGAACTAGGACTTCTCTCCTTCCACCGTCCGTTTTCTGTCATGCACTATTGCTCTTTCATTGTACTTGGTCATCCCCTGCCCCCCCCACCCCCGCCACCAAACCATGTGCTTTAGCATCTTCCCTCATAAGGAGCGAGAAGACCCCTCCAGCTACTGGTCCATTATCCTGATTCTCTTTACAGTCAAATTTCTCAAAAACATTTTTTTTTACACTCTGCTTTTTCTTTTTTCCTCTTTTTACCCATCCCCCCACCCCTCTCTCTTTGGCAACTATCAGCTTGTTCTCCGTACCTAGGGGTCAATTTCTGTTTTGTTTTATTCATTTGTCTTGTTTTTTCAGATTCCACATATAAGTGAAATCACATGGTATTTGTCTTTCTCTGTCTGACTTATTTCACTCAGCACTACACCCTCTAGGCCCATCCACGTTGTTGCAAATGGTAGGATTTCATTCTTTTTATGGCCGAGTAATATTCCATTGTGTATATGAACCACCTCTTCTTTACCCAGTTGTCTGCTGATGGGGGGACTTAGGTTGCTTCCATATCTCAGCTATTGTGAACGATGCTGCAGTGACCATAAGGACCCATACATTTTTTCAAATTAGTGTTTTGGATTTTCTCGGATACATACCCAGAAGTGGAATCGCTCGGTCATGAGGCAGTTTTATTTTTAATTTTTTGAGGAAGCTCTGTACCGTTTCCCACAGAGGCCACACCAGTCTGTAGTCCCGCCAACAGAGCACACGTGTCCCTTTTCTCCACGTGCTCGTCAGCACGTGTTGTTTGCGATTTTTTGATGATTCAAAACCATTTTCTCTAAGTGCCGATCTCACTTCTTCCTTTCAAGTTTCCGCTTTCCGGCCCCCTGACCCCTGTCTAGGTCATGGTCCCCATGTCAGGGCACCGCCGTCGGCCTGGGCCGGGTCTGGCCGAGGGGCCTCTGGCTGGCCTCCCCTGCTGCATTCGCGCAGCCGCTGCCTCGGCCCTCGCGTGCGTGTGCGCCTTCTCCTGCACCCCACCTTCCAGCTGAGGCTGTCACCGGGCTCAGGAAGCCACTCTTGAAGAGATTTGAAGTACTTGGCTCCCATCACTTGAATTTCTGTAATTGTATTATGCCACATGAATACATGTGTTAAAGAAATCCACAGTTACATGAAGAGTCAAAATTCCACCGACCACTGACACAGCCTCATTCTCCTTCCAGGACCTTCTTCCCGGCCTCTGCAGCCACCGCGTCTGCAGGCCACGGGCCCCAGCCTCTCCCCTTCCCTGCGACACAGCCTGGCCTGTCGGGGACAGCCTCCCTCGCCTCCTCCGCGGGCAGCCCCCCTCGGCCTGTCTGAGAGCTCGCCCTTTATCAGAGCACAGTGGCGAGTTCGGCCCTAGTAACTGGCACCATCACTGTCGACGGCACTTGAGTGTGGCCCTCCAGGGGCAGCAGTGACCGTCTCCGTGCTCCAACCCCAGCGCGTGGAGCCGGCCGCAGCCCCGCGCCGCGGGCGTTCGCGTGCAGCTCTCGCATTTCCGTGCGGATGCTGCCCGCACACGTCTGAGGCCCCACTCCTCAGCTTGCTTTGCAGCCCGAATCAATGCTTGCAGCGCTTCGGGGTCACGAGTGGTGAGGGCCGCAGTCCTGGGGGGCACGGTCCCAGCTGAGGGACAAAGCAACTGCCTTCTTGTTTCCGCCTGGTCCTCACAGATGCCTGGAGGGTCTGTCTCCGAGTTCGTTCTCACAGATTCCTTTTCTGCAGCTTTCTGTCTGGGACGCGGGTGTCCCCGGCCGCAGGGCCACTGATGGGGGCCTCGCCGCGCCCTGAGCTGTTGTAACGTTTGCTCAGACCCTGAGACAGGCAGGGTGGGCCGCCCTCCCACCCGGTGGGCAGCGTGTCCACGGCTGCCGGAGTGGGGCTCTTCGAGAGTCGGCTGGACACTGACACCTCTCCCGGGGGCCACCAGGGCCCGGCACACACCCCTGCTTAGAGGTGGGAGGAGCCGCTGGGACGGTCCCTCCACTGGGGGGTCTTCCTGGGATTGTGAAACAAGTTCCCTCGTTTCCTGGGGCTCCTGAAACGCCACCTCCCACCTCCGTCCTTGTCCTGCTTTGTTCACACCGGCCCGTTGCACACATCTGTTGGTTATAATCTTGTTCCTTGTCACCTGTAGCCAGGAGGCAGAGCTCCATCTGTCTTGCTCACTTGGACAGGTGCCTGGCCGACAGTTGTTGGCGAGGGAGTGGTCCAACCCCTGTGCGCACGACACGGCTTGTGACACGGGACAGACTGACTGACATCTCTGAGCCTCAGCTCCCTAGACAGCATGGGATTTGAGGGGATTTTGTGATTCTATGTCATGGTCACAAAGTCATGCTGGGGACTGACAGGAAGCTCAGTTGTCTCACCCAGCAGAGTCGCCTGGACCAGAAGGGGACGGGCAGGAGGCCGCGGGGACCACCAGGAACACTCGGCGGGGCAGAAGCGGGAGGGTGGTGACCAGGAGATGAAGCCACCAAGGTCACAGGAGACTCCTGCTCCAGGGTGGTCTGCAGACTCCCTCACTGTCAGGAACCCCGGGCAGTGCCCCCGGCCAGGAGCTCAGTGCCGCCTGAGAAGGTGCATCTTCCACCCTGTGAGCAAGAGCAGCTGAGTCAGACAGCCACACTGGACAGAGAGGGAGGGGTCAGGAGGCGGGTGGGGCTCGAGGGCCCTGGCATTAGGCTTCCTGGAGGGCTGAGGGTCCTGCAGGGAAAGGCCACCTTCCCAAGTAGCTAATGACCAGGTGTGGATGCCTTGCAGCTGGATCCCTGAGTCTCTGCCCGCCTGCCCGCCCTGCCGCCCGCTCCTCCCCCAGCCCGAGGCACCACAGGCAGGTTTCTGGCTGGAGGCCCAGCGCCCCAGCCAGTCCCTGAGAGAGGTGCCTGGAGCTCTGCCGTGAATTTAGAATTCTCTGCCCTGGGGACAATCATGCAGCTGCAGCTGTAGCCCCTCAAGCTGAACCCCTCAGACCAAGGAGCCTGGAAGCCGAACACAGGCCAGGGGGAGGCCAGGCCTCCTCACGCCCACGCCCATGCCCACAGCGGCCCAGGGCGCCTCGCATCCGCCCCCCACCTGCAGCCCCCGCATGACTGCGAGGGAACCCCAGACAAGAGCCAGGCCCAGGACATTCGAGCATCACAGGCCAGAGGAGGCCGAGAGGCAGGGCAGCTACACACAGTTTAGGGCCCTGGGGTGAGGGTCCTGGGACGGAAGGAGGAAGTGGGCGGGAAAAGGTGAAATCTGAATAGTTAGGCTTTTATGTCAGTCTGCCAATGTCAAGTCCTAGTTTAGAGAAATGACCCATGATTCTGTAAATTGTGACATTTCAGTGAGCTGGGCGGGGGGATGTCAGAACTCTGTAAATCTGAAATCATTTGAAACCAAAAAGTTCAAAGAAAACATCCGTGCAGGGGGGACCCAGCCTTGGAATCCCGCCCACTGCTTCACCCCAGGCCCCCTCCGCGGGTTCCTGGGGTGCCTCCCCCAGCCTTGGGCCTGTGCCCTGGGCTTCCAGGGGTCCCAGAAGGGCTATAGACCAAGGAGGGGACACTGCGATGTTTGGGAATCTTCGCCAGGTCAGCTCCCAGGCCACCCAGCAACAGACGACCAGCCCCGCAAACTTCCAGCGGGAGCCCTGTGCCTTCAGTGACAGCGGAGGGCCAGCTCAGCGGAGGGCTGTGCCCCACGTGGAAGCAGGGCCAAGGGCCTCTGTCTGTCCCTCCCGGCCCCTCCCAGGTCTGCAGGCTTGCTCGGCTCTGAGGGTGGGCACAGGGCACGCAGGCCCCCAGCCCAGGCCAGCGGGGGCGGGCCGAGGGGGAGACAGGAGAGGGCGCCCGAGGCCCGGTTCTGTTTCTCAGCGTGTCCTCCATCAATCCCGAGAGCAGCCTGGCTTTGACGGGGAACCTGGGACTCAGAAACGGTCCAGTCTTTGCAGAAGACACGGAGGCCAGAAAGGGAAGGGCGGTGTCCACCTGGAGGACAAAAGGTCGCCGGTCTCTCAGCTTCTCATATTTCCCCGAAAACTGCAGACAGCAGCACAGGTCAGTAGCAGAGACTCTGAAGTGAGGGAGCCCCAGCGGTGCCACCCCGGGGGGTCGCCGGTGAGAGGGGCTCCGTAACAAATCTGACCGACAGCCACCCCACAGGACGCCCTTCCATGGCGGTCAGCCCCGCCTGCTGCTCCTTTAGTAAAAGCTCATCTTCGCCTCCAGCGGGCCCCGCCCACGTCTCCGTGGTCCAGAGTCGCCCACCTTTGAAAAGCCCCCGTTCGGACCCGCCAGGGAGCGCGGTCCCAACCACCCTGCGATCCAGCCCGGCCTGCTGGTCTCCACCTCCGCGGTCTCCCTCACTTCCCTCCTAACTCCAAAGCAGAGGAGAATGCTGAGCCGTCGCCCCCTGGAGCACTGGCGACCTCGCTCCCCGCCATGCCGTATTTGGCTCAAATAAACTCTTAGACAAATTCTCCACAGGTTTGGACGTTGTTACATGACGTCAGCCGATCTGTGCCTCAGTTTCGACATCCGTGAAATAGTGGGGATGGTGATAGTGTCTGTCCCACAGGATTGAGTGACTCGATCAACACACAAACCTGAAGCAGCAGCTAACACGGGATAAGTGAGCGACAAGCTCTAGCTGCTGCTGCTGTAGTTGGTACCGCAGTGAGGATGACAGCTGCCTTTCCAGCTCTATCTCCTCCTGCTCGTTTATCTTCCGGAACAAGCGATGGGCTCCTGGACCTTCCCACCTCCACGCCTGTCCTCGCTGCATCTATTGTGACTTTTTAGGTCACAGGTGAGTCAAAAACCCGACTATAAATATGTAAACGATGGAGAGACTTGTGGCAAGGCCTGACGGACGCAGCCACTCAGACAGTTGTCCTTTGTCTCTGTTTTGTCCTTTGTGACTTACAGGGCGACCCCGAACAACCTCCGTGACCACTGGCTTCAGTAGGCCCTGCCTGGGAGCCGGAGGTGACGATGTCTTACCTGAGCAACGATGGAAGCAGAGGGGGTTCATACTCCTTCTGCTGGCCGCCCCGTGTTGTCTCAGCCTGTCACC